ACCCACCTAGGCCTCTCAAAGTACTGGGATTACAAGAAAATAGTAAATTTTTTCCCCCCACAAAAAAACCCTTGGGGAAAAAAAAAAAAAAAAAAGCAAATTTTAAAAGAACCAAAAAAAAAAACCTTGTCAGTGGTTGCTCTTTGTAACACATAAAGACATGGCTTGTCCTCAGAACCAGAGGACAGGTCCCCTTACGCTGGGATCTAAAAACCCAGAGTTCTAAGAGAGTAAAGACAGGGGGAGTTCCATCCTTGTACCTTATGCCCTTACGATCAAAGCAGTGGTTTCCAAAATTCTGAGCTTGTCAACAGCTGGTTTGTAAAAGCTCATTTTCTGGGCAGCCCTCTCAAGATGCTGGGCAGAAGCAGGTGTGATGGGGGACCCTGAGTTCAGAGGCTGGGATGTGCCCCACCTCTGCAGCCCACCCTGGTCTCAGTTCAAAGGGACCCAGCTTGGCTGGATGCGGTGGCTCCTGCCTATATTGCTAGCACATTGGGAGGCTGAGGCGGGAGGACCACTTGAGGCCAAGAGTTCAAGAACAACATGGCCAACACAGCGAGACCCCATCTCTATATTAACTTAAAAAATTCTTTTAATTAAAAAAAAAGTGACTTAGCTTAATGACACTCAGCCCCTTCCCACTCTGACTAACAGCTTCCTATGAACACCTCTTCTGGGTAGAGGAGGACCCGCTGAGAGTTTGCTTCTAAGCTCAGAACAGCTTTCTGTTTATAATAATGACCATAATAATAATAATAGCAAATTCTTCTGCAGCACTTGCACTGTTCTAAGAGTCTTCATATGTTAACAAATTCAATGGCCGAGGATGCAAGGCTGGGAAGCCCACTACTCCCCACTCCCAGGAAGAACCATATTTGAACCCAAGGGTTCCAGGGAACCGGGCCCTGTGGGCTCCATGTGGTATCCCTGGTGCCTAGAACATAGCAGCAGGTCAGTCATTTGCTAAATGAATAAATTCAGTACTACATGAGCTGGGCTTAGGGAGGGTGGTTCATAAACGCTTCAGTGAATGAGGGATCATTGCCGCCACTACACTGGGTAGGGAGGCTCAGAACCTTCCTTTGAGAAGGAGGTAGAACAGGGCGGACTTGTCATGGGGATCTGTGGTCCATATCCCATCAGGACAGGAGGCTGGGAGCGTGGAGGGCAGCACTGGCCTCCACTCCTCCAGGTCCTGCCTCCAGCCTGGCCTCTCTCCCCAGCACCCCAAAGGGCAGTGAGTGGTCAGAGAGGACAGTGGGGCCATCACTCCAATCCATTCCCTTCATGTTTCTGTCTGTCACCACACTGCCACCTTCCCTGGACCAGAAGCCACAATTGTCTCTTACATTGTCATTTTTCTCCATTTCCACCACTACCCTCAGCCCAGACGCCGGCACTGTTGATCTAGGCCTTTGCTGGTGCCCCTGAGGGCCAGCCTCCCTGTCTCCACCCAGCCCTCTCGAATCCATCGACCAGGCTGCTTGAGGGCCTGTGTTCCTCAGCAGCTGCCACCTGCCACTCCCCGCTCCATACCCTCCCGTGGCCTAGCACTGCCCCTTGGGGAACTTGTTGCCCATGTCTCTGCGGAGTGTCCCCTAGCCCAGCAGTCCCCACCCTCCCTCCACCACACCACCCTGCCCACCAGCACAGCTCTTTCCTGACTGGGGGCCTCGAGGAAGTTACTTAACTTCCCTATGCATCAGTTTCCTCATCGTAAAAAAAAGAGATAATTACTGTACCTATCTAATATGGTTGCTGAGAGGATTAAATAAATTAACTTAAAGGAAGCGCTGTATGGGTTTACCATGATTATTAGTTGTAGATCCAACTTCCTCACCCTGGAAGGAAGGGCCCTCTCCCTTTTCTCTGCCTGGCTAACTCCCACTCCTTCTTAAAAATACATCCCGAGTGTCACCTCCTCCAGGAAGCCTTCCCAGCTCTGTCTCCCCCCTCCCCCAGCCCTGTCAGGTTTAGCTGCTTATCCCACAGTGCCCTGCACCCACCCTCTCTCAGCCATGCCACCCTGCTCTGTACCAGTCCGTCTGACCATCTGGCTCCCTGGCTGGTCAGCGAGCCACTCAAGGCAGGGACCATGTAGCAGCCACAAAGCCCTGTGGGCTTATCTGTGGTCCCTGAACCAAAGCCCTGGGCCAGGTAGTGGGTCCATCTCTCCAAGAGAAGTGGGAAGGGTGAATGGACTGCTTAGGGGTGGGAGGGGGTGAAGTGAGGGGTAAGGGGAGCATGATGAGGCCAGGAGGGTGGTAGGCCAGGCCAGGGGCAGCCTTGAGGAGGTGGGCAGGGTAGGGGGCAAGGGGTTGACCAGGACAGCTGAGACAAAGTGTGTGGGTGGCGGGCCCGGCGTAAACCATCTCTCTACCTGTTTTCTCGTCCGAGTCTTCCCCGTCCTCAGTTTAATATAGCGTGCAATCAACTCATTTCGACCTAGATTGGAGTGGGAGAAAAAATGAGGAGTGGGCAAAGGGTGGAGCCAAAGGCTGGAGACCCTACCCCACTGGGAGGCCACTCCAGGACCCTCCCCAAAACCCTGCTCTTCTGTTCCCCACTCTCTTCACTCCAAGCTGCATGCACAGGGCAGGCAAAGGTGACTAGGGAGTCCCAGCTACATCCCACCACCTCCAGGACCTAGAGGGGCTGCTCTTCAGGGAAAGGGTGCGTGAGGGGCTGCAAGGTAGGAGGAAGGAGGGCCGAGCAGCACTAAGCACCCTCACATGCTTCCTTGCAGACAGACTGGGTGGCTGTGGTGCAGGTCAGCAGGAAGGTGGCCGGGTAGGGCCTGTTCTGGCTGGGCACCCCATCCTCCCAGCCCCCGCAGTGCTTCCTGCCTGTGTGACCAGCTCCAATGCTCTTAGTGCATGGATTTGTAGGGGCATGTGAAGGAGGCCGCCCCAGGTGGATGTCCTGTCCTTGCTCTGTCTTTACCCTAGACAAGTTCCTTCCCTTCTCTGGTGAAAGACCAGGAAGGACAGGAAGGCAGCACGCACAGCCACAAATGTGCCTCCTACACTGGCAGCCTGTGTCAAGATGTGTCACTGAGCATGTCACCATGTCCTTGTGCCTGTCACCCACATGTCACCAGTTCCCAGTGTCTCTCCATCCTGTAAGAGCGTTGGGGTGGGGGGCTCCGTTCTGCACCACGGACCCCCAAATCCAGACACTCTGCCCCCCAGCCCCATGGCCTCCCCAGAACGGCCAAATTCTCCAAATTCCTCTCTGATGACAGAACCAGCCCCATTGCTCCTCCCTTCCCACCAGCCCCTCTCCACCCCTCTCTCCACCCTGTCTAAAAATACCCCGTGGGGCTCCCCAGCCTGGAAGGCAGCAGTGGGGGCAGACAGTACCCACCCTGTGGATACCAGGCGCCCTGGACCATCTGCCTGCCCCCAAGGTGGGGCTCTGGGGCTGGGGTGGGCGTGGCTATTGGGGCGTGGCCAAGGGGCATGGGGCAGCCCAGATTGCTTCCCACAGGCTCGCCCTGGGAAGGGCTGGGCCTGCCTCGCTCAGCCACGGGCTGCAGGGAGGAATGGGGGAGCTGGCCAGAAACCAGGCCCAGAAAGGTCGAGTTATCCCAAAAATGCAACTCTGGGAGAGCCCTCTCAGGGCTGGACAAGAGGGGACACTCCCTTCTGGAAGTGGGCAAGATGGCAGAGAGAAGGGCCAGCAAACACAAGGAGTGGGGAAGGGGACTGAGGAGGGAACACGTCCCCACGAACGCAACGCAGGCCTCTGTCCCCGTGCGACCTCCCACAACCCGCACTGGAGGGATCTGTGTTGGGACTGTCACCGGGCCACCTTTCCACATCCTCCTCCGGGAAGGGACCCCCTTCCGGGCCTCGCCTGGCGCAGACTGGGCTGACCCAGTTTCTCCGGCCCACTGAGTCACCTCGAAACCTCCAGGCCGGTAGCAGGGAGGAGAGGAGGAGCAGGCGGGGGTGCCGAGGTGTGGGCTGCACCCTGGTTGGGGGGCAAGCCCGGCTTGTTTATGAGGAGCAGCGCGGAGGAGGATCCAGACACACAGGCTTGCGCGCCCAGACTCGCCCGGCCAGCGGCAGGCCTCCGGACGTCACCAAACCGGTTGGGTGAGGGGGCAGAGAGCAGGGGGAGGGGCCGCAGTCCCGCCCGCGCCCCGTGCACGCACCGTACATCTTGCCCTCGTCCGACAGGATGATCTTGCGCCGGCCGCAGGGCGGGTAGATGGCCAGGGCCTCCTGGAAGCTCTGCTCGATGTCCGGGCTCCACACGCCCTCAGCATCGTTGTCCAGCCCCTTGTCCAGGCCCTCGGGCCCATCCTCCCGGGCCTCCCCGGGGCTGCTGCTGGCGTTCCAGCTGTTGGACGCTATTGTGCTGGTTGCTCTGGGCTCTGGGCCTGAGCCCACCGGGCAGCCGAGCCTAGGGGACAGACAGAGAGGGGTTGGGGCCAGGGTCCTCCTCAACCACCGCAATCTCTACCCCACAGCCGCTGGCTCTGGAGCTCAGTCCCCACACCAAGCCCACCCTAGGGGCAGGTGTTCGGGGTGGGATGGAGGTAACCAGAGGAACAACCACAGCTTGTTCAGAGCGGTGTGACCTGTGATGCACGAGCTACTTCACCTCTCTAGGCCTCAGTCCTGTAAAACAAAAGGGTTTCCTTGAGGTTGTGAGAGTTAAAATTTAAATAAGCTCATGACAAAGTACCAACCACATGCCTGGCTCATAACACTCAAGAAATAGGTAATCGGCCGGGCGCAGCGGCTCACACCTGTAATACCAGCAATTTGGGAGGCAGAGGTGGGCAGATCACAAGGTCAGGAGATCAAGACCATCCTGGCCAACATGGTGAAACCCCATCTCTCCTAAAATACAAAAAATTAGCTGGGCGTGGTGGCGCACACATGTAATCCCAGCTTCTCAGGAGGCTGAGGCAGGAAAATCACTTGAACTTGGGAGACACAGGTTGCAGTGAGCCGAGACTTGCGTGGACAACAGAGTGAGACTCTGTCTCAAAAAAAANAAAAAAAAAAAAAAAAAAAAAAAAAAAAAAAAAAAAAAAAAAAAAAAAAAAAAAAAAAAGATAGGTAATCAGTAACAACAACAACAGCGCTTCGCACCAACACAGCACTTTTGTAGGGAAAAGGTATTTTCATATTCATTCAAATCTCACAAAACTAGGCTGGTGCGGTGGCTCATGCCTATAATCCCAGCACTTAGGGAGGATCACTTGAGGCCAGGCGTTCGAGACCAGCCTGGCCAATATGGCAAAACCCGGTCTCTACTAAAAATTAAGAAAAATTTGGCTGGGCAAGGTGGCTCATGCCTGTAATCCCAGCACTTTGGGAGGCCGAGGCAGGTGGATCATTTAAGGTCAGGAGCTCAAGACCAGCCTGACCAACATGGTGAAACCCTGTCTCTACTAAAAATATATTAAAAAATTAGTTGGATGTGGTGGTGTGCATCTGTAGTCCCAGCTACTCGGGAGGCTGAGGCAGGAAAATTGCTTGAACCCAGGAGGCGGAGGTTGCAGTGAGCCGAGATCAAGCCACTGCACTGCAACGTGGGTGACAGAGTGAGACTCCGTCTCAAAAAAAATTAGCAGGGCATGGCAGCACATTCCTGCAATCCGAGATACTCAGGAGGCTGAGACATGAAGATCACTGAACTCCAGAGGCAGAGGTTGCAGTGAGTGGAGATGGCGCCACTGCATTCCAGCCTGGATGACAGAGCAGACCCTGTCTCAAAAAAGCAAAAAAACCACTAAAGCAGAGAAGGTAGGGAATGACACCCGTTATTCAGAGAGGAAAACCAAGGCTCACAAGGTCACACAGTTGCCAAAGACACCCTGAGGTGCACAGAGGGGAGTAGCAGAGGTGCAGGGCTGTGCTTCCTCAGCTCTCCCTGGCAGCTCCTCCTCTCCAGTGTCCAGATCCCCAGCCGGGGACCTCCACCCTCACTCTCATCCCAGCATCAATGCCACCCTGCTAAGGATCCCTCAGGGGACAAGGAGAGTCCCTGACCCAGGAAGGGCATCATTTCACCTTCCCCAAATCGATACTAACCAGAACCTTGCTGAGGAGGCTAATGTGGGGCAGGAACTGCCCCAGGAATTACAAAAAGGGAGCTCTCGAGGGAGCCGCTGAGAAGGTGCCTGGCCAGCAGCCTGGCTCAACGTCACCGCCCCTCTATCCCACTTCCTGTTCCAGCACCTCCAGGCCCCACAGCAGCCTGTAAACCACCCACATGCCCGCCCCCGCCCTGGCCCATTCTCCATGTGGGCCAGGGCTCTGTAAACTGTGAGCGCCCTGAACCCACCAGGCCCATCACTCACAACCCCGAGACTCACCCCAAATCCCCTTCAGCCCCAGAACCCACATATCCAATGTATTCAGGAAACCTAAGAGCCTGTGCTGGCTGAATCCTGGGACTTAGCTCTGGGCAGCAGGGAAAGGGGAGAGGTGAAGAGGTAGGGGACCCCATCAGAAGCCAGGGAGAGAAAAATGAATTCCAGGTCCTGCTGCATGGGTGGGGGTGGACTCTGCAGAGCCACCTGTTTACTGAGGGAGGCTTGAGAGGGTCACTAGTAGAATGAGGTGGGGGAGGACTGAGGGGCCTGAATGTCAGCTAGTTATTTGGTTATTCTAAACTATTATTCAGCTAGTTAATCAGCTATTCAACTAGTTATTGTAATCATTCTAAACGATTGAGTTTAGATTTAATATTACTACTAATAACAGTATCTGCTATATGCCAGGCACTGTTCTGTGATTTCACACACATTGACTCATTTAATCCTCACAATAACCCTATGGGGCAGGTACTATGCTTATTCCTAGTTTATAGATGAGGGAATCCAAGAAACAGAGAGGTTAAGCAACTTGCCTTAGGGCACACACAAGTTAGTGCTAGGGCTGGGTTCTGAACCCAGGTAATCTGGCTTCAGTTTTATAACCAGGAGGCTTACAGGGAGGGTGCAGAGAAACCCCACCACCTGGAGAGAAAAGAAGGTTCAGCTGTCATAGCAACCGCCCTAAGTCTGCCCAGGGGGTCCCCCTCAGCCCAAGCAGCTGCAACAACTTCAAGGACTCCCGCACGGCCCATACAGCCCTTTCTGTGATGCCTCCAGCAGGAATCTCTCTCCCATGGCCAGCCAGAAGGAGCTGTGCCCCTGACCCATCAGAGGGACAAGATGCCCTCATTCCTAGACTGTCCCTCACCCCAGGAAACCGGATCTAGAGCCCCAGCCCCCTCCTCAACGAGAGGGGAATTCTTGGAATAGAAATGTGAGGGGTAAACAAAATAAAAATAAATAAATAAGGCCTGGTACGGTGGCTCACGCCTGTAATCTCAGTACTTTGGGAGGTTGGTGGATCACCTGAGGTCGGGAGTTCGAGACCAGCCTGACCAACATGGAGAAGCCCCATCTCTATTAAAAATACAAAATTAGCTGGGACTACAGGTGGTGCATGCCTGTAGTCCCAGCTATTCAGGAGGCTGAAGTGGGAGAATCCCTTGAACCCAGGAGGTGGCAACAAGAGTGATACTCCGTCTCAACAATAAATAAATAAAGAAACGAAGAAATACATAAATAGGCTGGGCGAGTTGGCTCACACCTGTAATCCCAGCACTTTGGAAGGCTAAGGCAGGCAAATCACGAAGTCAGGAGTTCGAAACCAGCCTGGCCAACATGGTGAAACCCTGTCTCTACTAAAAATACAAAAATTAGCTGGGTGTGGTGGAGGGCAGCTGTAATCCCAGCTACTTGGGCAGGTGAGGCAGGAGGATCACTTGAACCTGGGAGGCGGAGGTTGTGATGAGCTGAGATCGCACCATTGAACTCCAGCCTGGGCAACAGAGCAAAACTCTGTCTCACAAAAATAAATACATAAAAATAAATAAATAAATAAATAAATAATGAAATGTAGGTGGTGGTGGCTACCGACTATAATCCCAGCACTCTGAAAATATCACTTGAGATCAGGAGTTCAAGACCAGCCTGGGCAACATAGTGAAACCCTTGTCTCTATTTTTAAAAATTAAATTAAAAAAGAAAAAAAAAAGTGAGGGACAGGGGTGTGCTAGCTGGGTGGGGGGTGGGGCACCTAGTGACTCCCCTGTTGGAATAGTTGGGATGCAGGCTCTGTCCGCAGGTATCAGTCTGACACTGCCACAGAGCTGTCAGAGAGGAGGGAGAAGAGTGCCTACAATGAGCTAAGACCCCTCTCACCCCCTTTCCCCTAGATCCTTCTGAAGCCTCCCTCCAAGCAGCAGGGGGCCAGGCAGCCCCAGACTTTTAAAGCAACTTTCCTGCCTCCCCCAAGTCCCTGCCCCCCTCCCCTCAAGCAGGCCGTGGCCCCCCCTTCTGAGGGTGATGTCAGCCCTGTCCCGCCCCCCGCGGGAGCACTGTGGCCAAATATGGCGAACACAGCAGCAGGCTTGGGAGCTGGGACAGACTGGGGGGGCGGGGCAGGCGGCCCCTGGCTGGGACCGCTGGCAGCTGGTGAGGGGGAGGGGAGGGGGGACGGCCCAAAGGACGCGTCAAGGAGAGAATAGGACCACCGTCCCTCCCTTCCCCTGGCTCCTAGGTACAGGCAAGACTCACTTTCTAGGAACCCTCCTGGGGCAGAGGTGCCAACACGCCAAGTGGCACCCCCACACACAGCCATGCACAGGAGCACACTGTGCAGAGAGGCTGTGTGAGTGCTTGGTGAACAACCATGTGAGAATGTGTACCCCCAAGCTGAGGCATACACGTGGGCAGTTGCGGGCAGGCAGCTGCCCTGGGCTGGGAGCTGGACTGGGGTCTCAGTGGAAGGAAGTCCACAGGAGGCATGAGCACTGGCTGCTCTGTTCTCCTAGAGACTCGGGTGTGCCTGCCTTCCTCTCCCGAGACCCTCTAACCGCTGGGACCCAGGCCAGGCTGAGAGAGGAGGCTATGGCCTCCTGGACAGGTGCAGGCTGGGCTGGGACAAATGTGGGACTCTGGTTTCGTGGACGTGTGGGACATCTAGAGAAGGCTGACTGAGGGCAAAAGAGCCGGCCCTGGGCTGCTAGCTGATGCTGCCCAGGTGTCTAGAAGCTCTGCCTGTCTGAGCTGTGCCATGAAGAGGGGTAGGAGAGGGAGGAGACCCAAGTGAGGGTCAAGGGGAGGGAGAGGGGGCCTGAGACAGACAGGAGGGGCAGGGGAGACAGGCTGGCAGAGAGTCTTGGGCAAAGAGAAGCGGAGGTGGACCCAGAGAGAAGAGACAGGAGAGTCACTGAGTGAGACAGAAAGCCCAACCCAGCGGGGAACAGACCAGAGCCCCACAGAGTGAAGGGAGAGACCGCAGGAGTGATGTGGAGGGAGGGCGGCGGGGGGGCGGGGGTGCTAGAGAGTCAGACCGGCAGACTGACAGACAGAGGGGTGGGGGCGGAGAGAG